AGTTCCCACTATTCTTCAGTGACAATACACAGTATATATGAAGCCTGTAAATTAGAGTTCCCACTATTCTTCAGTGACCATACACAGTATACATGACGCCTGTAAATTAGAGTTCCCACTATTCTTCAGTGACAATACACAGTGTACATAACGCCTGTAAATTAGAGTTCCCACTATTCCTCAGTGACAATACACAGTATAAATGACGCCTGTAAATTAGAGTTTCCACTATTCCTCAGTGACAATACACAGTATCCATGACGTCTGGAAATTAGAGTTTCCACTATTCCTCAGTGACAATACACAGTATCCATGACGCCTGGAAATTAGAGTTCCCACTATTCTTCAGTGACAATACACAGTATATATGAAGCCTGTAAATTAGAGTTCCCACTATTCTCCAGTGACCATACACAGTATATATGAAGCCTGTAAATTTGAGTTCCCACTATTCTTCAGTGACCATACACAGTATAAATGACGCCTGTAAATTAGAGTTCCCACTATTCCTCAGTGACAATACACAGTATAAATGACGCCTGTAAATTAGAGTTCCCACTATTCGTCAGTGACAATACACAGTATAGATAACTCCTGTAAATTAGAGTTCCCACTATTCTTTAGTGACAATACACATTATAAATGACGTCTGTAAATTAGAGTTCCCACTATTCTTCAGTGACAATACACAGTATAGATAACTCCTGTAAATTAGAGTTCCCACTATTCTTCAGTGACAATACACAGTATAGATAACTCCTGTAAATTGGAGTTCCCACTATTCTTTAGTGACAATACACAGTATAAATGACGCCTGTAAATTAGAGTTCCCGCTATTCTTCAGTGACAATACACAGTATAGATAACTCCTGTAAATTAGAGTTCCCACTATTCTTCAGTGACAATACACAGTATAGATATAGCCTGTAATAGAGACTTATTCCAAAGGGAATAACAGAATTCAACATAGAAAAAAAACTCTACCACCTCTTTTTCTCTCAGAATAATATGATACCTAATTCTAATAGGATTGTTGGTGAATTAGAAAATAATTAAATTATCCTATATTACAAATATGTGTTATACGCTAATAATTGGAGACCGCGCGCGAATATAGAATGCTAAGCATTGGTAAATCGTTTCACAAGATTCCGAGCCTTTTGATTCTTCGACTATTAAAATTAAAAGGAGCATTGATGCAGAGATTGCTTGATTTAGGTTATAAATGCGCTCTGCCTTGGGATTGTGTTTATATAGGAAAGAATTGTTGTCACGGTGTTTTACACATCGGCCATGCTCAGTAGACCTAATCCAACTGTTGTCTCACCCACGTCATCGCATCCAGTGTATGAGACAGAGTAGACAGTATTGTTGCAGAGAAAGATGTCTATTGTTGTGTCCTTAGTGATGGGATATCTCAGTATATGGCCTAGGTTTGGGGTGCTGCTGAAATATGTGTTGATTCCAAATTCACGTGAGATAAGAGCAATGAAGTTGGATAGGGATCAGTATTGGCATTACATTAGTCACTCTATAAACCGTCTGGTTTCAGGGTAGATTAAGATGAAATAAAAAATGCTTTTGTATGAAGGATAGAGGATTAAATGACGGACTTAGATGCCTGATGATGTTTTTATATCGGGAATCTTAAAATAAGGCAGAGAACATTGGATACGTGCTCTTTCTGAAAGTGTTAATACAACGTTGATTTTTAAAGCTGATTGGACAGTGGGATAAAAAATAAGGGTATGTTATGGTGAGGTCTTTAATATAAGACAGTACTATGAAATTAGGGCGCTGGTTTATATGATCAGAGAATATATTTAAATGAATTACATATAATCTCATACATATAATTTATAAAGAAAACAAGATATCTGAAAAAGAGAACTACCACAGACCATCCCATACATAAGTTATAAAGAAAACAAAATATCAGGAAAATAACTACCACAGACCTTCCTATACCTAATTTATAAAGGAAACAAGATATCAGGAAAAGAACTACCATACACTATCCCATACACAATTTATAAAGGAAAAAATATATCAGGAAAAGAACTACCATACACTATCCCATACACAATTTATAAAGGAAAAAATATATCAGGAAAAGAACTACCATACACTATCCCATACATAATTTATAAAGGAAACAAGATATCAGGAAAAGAACTACCACATACCATCCCATAACTAATTCACAAAGGGAAAAGGATATCAGGAAAAGAACTACCACACCACAAAAAATTCGTTATAATCAAAGGTTAGTTAAGGAACCAATATCAATAACAATCACGTTATTTATAAAAAGGCTGGAATCGGAGTCACACTATAGAGGAAATGTCACAACAGTTTATGTGTGATTCATATCGATAAAAAACAGCAGCACACAACAGAGCTGTTCAAGAGACTAACTTCCGCGCAGGTTGCGTGCCGGCACGGAGGAGATCAATCAGGCAGGACATGGTTCTCTTGGAATAAAAAATATTGAATTCATACACAGTGAGGGCTCATGGTGCTAATTGATATAATATTGTCCTGGAATTAAAAATTATCATTATAGTGTGCCAAGATATTCTAAATGAATTAAACACAACATACAAAACATAAATATTTAAAATTACAAAATATTTTATCACAATGAGTTTCTTTTTATTACAAAACGCTAGCTTTCAAGAGATAATAGCTCTTCAATAGGCTTAATAAAACATCGACCATATCCCACAAGAAATTTGTAATTTTAAAACGTTTTTTACAATTTCATCATGAATAAATATTTATAATATATTAGGATTATAATATTATGAAATTAAACAATAAATTAAATAGAATATTTATTAAAGTTTGCAACACAAAATATTAAAATAGTAATACATCTTCAATAGCATTGTAAATTACTTTCAAAGAGAATATTAATCCTTATAATGTGACTACTAATAGAAATTGGCCACTGGACATGCGTCAGACCTGCAGGTTGTTGGGTTCTAAGCTACCAGGAGTATAGGAGCTCCATCTAAGTTTCCTTACTATGGTGAATCCGTATAAGACCGGTGGTCTTTATAAAGCTTCTATATGTCTATGTATACTAATAAAAATTACCTAAATCATCAATATTCTTGATCACATCCCCGAAAGAGGTAATTTTATATTAAATGATAAGTTTGTCGTGACACTCTGGATTCATATAATTCGTATTTCTATAGAATCAGGAAAACAGATTCTCCAAAATGTTGTTGTGATGTAGAAGATGAAAGACCACAAATTATCTTAATCCATAGCCCACTTATCCCAGAGACTTAAGAAAACAATGTGAGTCAAAATTTAATTTCAAGAGACAGGTAATCAACAATTAAGTTTGAATATGAGAAATATACAAAGTGTGTCTTTTGTAGCCTATAACCTAATAAACAACGGTATACAAAGGAAAATATTGTGTGTTACAATATACACACATTTTTAAATTTTGTTTATGAATGTATTTATATAAGCTTATCAGTGGTGAACCCTCCCAGCGGTTTCGTTAGTTTGATCAACCAGTTTTGACGCGTTGGACAGGTGAAACTACTGGGAAGGTTCACCATTGAGGAGACAGGCCCCTCCATTGATTTATCATAGCAGTAAGGGCAGTAGAAAATTGATTAATTTTGAAAGAAAAAAATCGCGTCAAAAATAGTGTGAATTTATTAGAAAAGATAGCGCGCTAATACATCATAAATCAGTATTTTACAAATACAAGCCTTGAATTCACAATCTGGGTAGCTATACCTGCCTTTATAGTAAAACGCCCTAATAAATCAGAAAGAATGACCCTAGTAAACAACATATCAAATAATTAAAAACAACAGGAGAATAGAAATTCTGGAGAACCTCGCCATATTCTACATCAACAACCAATCATAAAAATGTAGATCTAACTCCCGTGTTATATGGCATTATGATATAATAAACATTTCAAAATGTAATATAAAATGTAACAGCAGTGAAATAAAAAATAGTTAAAAGCGACGACACCACCTTCATATATCAGATTGTATCCTGCTACAAATTTATCTTTTGATATATAAATAAATATACAGCCGTCTTCATATTACTACGACATCAAGGCGATCTGCGCATGCCTACTGTCAATTACGGGACAGAAACGGTTCAGCTTTTTGTTTGTGTTTTGAAGAAAAATTAAAAATAGCTCATTATGAAACTAATATGCATATTCCAAGCTTAAAACTATGATAGCGACTTCTCTAAGAGAAATCTTTATATAGTGAGAAAATAATTAATTAAATAGGCTTGAATATCTTAAACGTATACGATACAAATTTTAGTATTCTAATTTTTATGTGTTTCTTTCAGTCGTCACATTTGAAAAAATTAAGCTCTAGACTGACGAGGGCCATTAGCATGAAACCATGGTCTCTATGTGGACGCTTTTCAGTTTGCTAAAGCTGGTGTTGTGGCTTTGTCACCGACCCGAGACCTCTAGTTTGCGGCGACTGTCAATAGATGGCGCTAGGTTTGAAGGGGGAGGCGAGCTTTGATTTTATAGATTAATTTATTCCAGCAAAATATTTCCATTTATATTACTATAAGTAAAGATTCTTTCATGCTTTTACATTTTTAATGTAATCAATGAGAATTAAATGGTTTGGTTTCTTTTCTCATTTCTTTTATTTCTCGAGCTTTCGGGCTTAACATGCTCTTCAACAGGGAGATTCAGAAGTACAACCTCTAGCCAATTTTAACACAGAAATGTACAAAACAATAGGCACAATTAAAACGATGCAATAATTGGATAGAAGTTTTACTTTTGGATCTCCGTGTTGGAAGGCATGTTAGACAGAAAGCTCGAGAAATAGAAGTAATACGAAAAGAAACCAAACCCTTGATTCTTTATTGATTACACCAAAATTACCTAAAGTAAAAAAATTCGATTAGAAGATATTATTATTGAAAAGGTCAAAACCCTTCGCATACAATAAGCTTATTATCCTATATCAATGGGGTTGGTGAATGAGTGGTTTAAACTGTCGGTTTTCGACCGCTACGACCCGGGTTCGATTCCCGCATTGGGCACTTTTTTTTTCTGATAAAAATGCTCCAATGGCTCCCGATTCTTGCAAAAGTCCAACCCTACCAGCAAATGTAAGTAACCAAACGGGGCTCTGGAATATTTGTAAGTGCAAAGTTGAACTGCTTTTCACCTGTGTAGACATGTAGTGCGCTTACAGTAAAAGCAGTCGCTAACTACCCACCATGTTTATCATGGCCTGTACTACGTATACGAGGGATAAACAAAATATAAATCCTATATCATACACTAAAAATTATCACGAAAGGTTTTGATAAATTTGAAAATACAAAAATTGAAACAATCTATTTCTATAATTTCTAATTTTAATACAACAGTAGAAAATTGGGTTTAATATTAATAATTTATAGAAACATTTTAAAATGAGAAATATTAAAAATATTTATAAAAAATAACCTCAAAAATATTTTTTAGGATTAAATTTTCACAATAATAGGATGGCGGCCTAGAAAAAAATGATCTCAAATGAAACAAACAAAACTTTGGGCAAAAAAATACCAATTTCTTTCGCTTCAGTTTACAATTTGAGAGCAATAATGGCGGCCAAAGGCTTTGATAAAAATGTATCTTTTTGGTATGCAATTTTCTTATCTTTCCATTGGAGCTTCTCATGCGATGTCTTTGCCAATTTGAACTATCGATAGAATAATCCTTATATATACTAAATATATATAATTGTTTTAATAAATTATTTTTACATTATATGTTTTTTTTTATATTAAAAAGCATATATTGGATCAAAATATCATTTATTTTTCTACAGGTAAACTCCGTATAAATTAGTATAAAAGTATAACAAATCTAAAGTTTTGCGGAGGAGCCTCTTTTATTATACATTTGCAAGCTTTCGAACCTTTCGGTTCTTCCACAGGCGTGGCTAGTATGACTACACTAACAGGGTATAAGCGCGCTTGAGCCATTATATACAACATATAAATTTACATTCGGAGTGATATTTCAAACGTAATAAAATAGAAATAGGAATTATGACTATAAAAATAAAAATAAAACTATGTAAATGAACTTATAGATTTTAAAATTTAGATAAAATTATGGCAAAAACTTTTAAATGCGATAAAAGTTAAGTAAAATAATGATATTCACTGTATGTAAGCCGTGTGACACTTTAAAATTTCGTAACATTTAAAACCAGTAAAATTTTAAAACATCTCAACACAGAAAAACCAAGCTGGGGTCCACTCCTCCCGACCACACACCCGAGTGTATCACGGTGTAACTATTGAGATATTATATGATATATTTCCGGTAGATCTATTTTCCTATTTATGCTATTTGTTTGTGTTGATATGATGGATTCCAGTACCAATCTGTGCTGCTTATTGTTTATGTGCTGATATAGGATTTTAGGATGATCTAAGTTGAAGTTATGGCCTGTGTTTGAAATATGTTGGTATATAAGTGATTTCGGGTCTCTATTGTTTATGTTTCGTTTGTGTTCGGTGATTCTGATATTGGAGGAGGTATGTGGACGACATCTTCTGTGTAATCAAACCGAATGAGCTCCAACCTATTCTTAACACTCTACATTCCTTTCACGCAGACATCAAATTCACATACGAAACAGAAACAAACCTAGTATTGCCATTTCTGGACATCCTTATTATCCGCACTCCACACAGATTGCACACAGCAGTTTATTACAAAAAGAATATCCCACCCCTATACACCCATTTCTCCTCCAATAGCCCGGTAGCCTATAAAGTAAACACAGTCAGGACTTTAACCAAAAGAATACATACGCATTGCTCATTGCCTATATTCAAAGCCATAGAAAAAACAGAATTACCACCCTTCTAACCACTGCAGGATACCAAAGAAAATTCATAGATAGACACACGTTTGATCCCACTGCTCCGAGGACCTCCACGACTTATAGAGCAGTCTGCTATCTTCCATATTCCTCCTTCTCTGTTGCCATTTCCAGAATCCTTCGCCCATATGGTATTCAGGTTTATTTTAACAGCCCTCCCAATCTTGCTGCCCTCCTCAGGAATCCTATCACCAAAGCAGACGCACCCAACAATCCCATCCACTCCACCGGAGCAGTATACGCGGTTTCTTGCCAGGATTGCCCAGCCTCCTATGTGGGGGAGACTGGCAGAACCGCGTATATCAGAATCACCGAACACAAACGAAACATAAACAATAGAGACCCGAAATCACTTATATACCAACATATTTCAAACACAGGCCATAACTTCAACATAGATCATCCTAAAATCCTATATCAGCACATAAACAATAAGCAGCACAGATTGGTACTGGAATCCATCATATCAACACAAACAAATAGCATAAATAGGAAAATAGATCTACCGGAAATATATCATATAATATCTCAATAGTTACACCGTGATACACTCGGGTGTGTGGTCGGGAGGAGTGGACCCCAGCTTGGTTTTTCTGTGTTGAGATGTTTTAAAATTTTACTGGTTTTAAATGTTACGAAATTTTAAAGTGTCACACGGCTTACATACAGTGAATATCATTATTTTACTTAACTTTTATCGCATTTAAAAGTTTTTGCCATAATTTTATCTAAATTTTAAAAATCTATAAGTTCATTTACATAGTTTTATTTTTATTTTTATAGTCATAATTCCTATTTCTATTTTATTACGTTTGAAATATCACTCCGAATGTAAATTTATATGTTGTATATAATGGCTCAAGCGCGCTTATACCCTGTTAGTGTAGTCATACTAGCCACGCCTGTGGAAGAACCGAAAGGTTCGAAAGCTTGAAAATGTATAATAAAAGAGGCTCCTCCGCAAAACTTTAGATTTGTTATCATTTATTTTACCAATATTTCAGTTGGCTGAACACCAACCTTTATCAAGGTGTTGTAACATATTTAATGTGTGTCAACAACAAACACCAAAAACAACAACAAATTATATATATAAACATTCGAATATAGTAAATACTAAATAACATGTTAGGAAATAAAGAAACATATTGTTAATGTTTTTTTGTACTTTCTTTAAATTTCATAGCAATTTTTATATTCTATTTTTTAAGAAGAGACCAAATGTAAACGCGATGAGTCTCTTTATTGAAGATCTGTCAGTTTTCGGACTTTAAAATCTGCGAGCTTCCTGTATATTCGTGTAATAGCCGGTTCAAGGACGTACATTTCTGAAAGCTCAAATTTCTTTAATAAAGAAACTTGTCGCTTTCACCTTTGGTCTTCATTTTTTATATGAGTTAGATTTTTGATAGAGTAACAATGATCAAAATTGTTTCTAGGTGAGAAAAGTTTCAATTCAATCAATGGGATATACCAATCATTCTTTCTGAATATATATATTTTGGGGAGCGTACTTATATCAAAATTCAAATTTACGAATAGCAATGCCAATCAAAGAATTAATTTCCCTATTGAATATTTAAAATAATCATATAAAAGAAGATAATTTAGCATTTATACATACGTCACAACGAGCTGAGTAGCAAAATAATCATTAATACTCGTATATTGTGAATATTTTTGAATTTGAAGATCTTTTCGATAATGGATCAAGAGGATTCGCTGCAAAGGAAATCAATGCAGAAGAAAATGAAGACGTATTTCCAATATTAGAAAAAAATGTGATCATTTAGGAATGAAAGGGCTAAATATAAAAGAAGCCATAGACTTGAATAACTAAATTTTAAAATAATTAAGTAATTATTTTTTTCTCATTTCAGTTGAAAATTCGGAAGCCCTCAAGAAATTTTCAAAAGTACATAATTTTATGATATAAGACGCTGATTAAAGTTGAAATATGATAGGAAGAAACAAAGGATACGAACAAAGAACTCACATTCAACGGGACTTCATATAAAAAACGTTGAAGAAATCAGGTAGGCGATTTATTTTACGACACACTGACAGATTCAAGACATTTCTGCAGCAAATAAACTAGAAATGCCCAACTACTACATCAACCTCATTGACCATGATTCGCTGGTTATAGCTATTACATTTGTAGATAGATACTGAGAAAATATTGAGGTGTTTTTTAATATCTATTCAACAGGCTTAATTAAAAACATCGAATATTTATTAAAATAATTGTTTTCGAAATATACGCTCTTGAAACGTAGATATTTTACAACAAAAATGTAAACTAAAAATTCAAAATTTAAAATATTTTTACATTTTTTATATATACTCATGTACAAAACTTAAGTAAGTGGAAAGTCTTTAATGTCCACGTTCATCGTGGACGTTTAAGGAGACGGAGGAAATTTTGTTTACACTTAGTTATTTCGTGTGTCTTGAATAAAGATCACTGTGTACTAATATCTTTCAGAGTTATTGTCTGAAGCCCGAAATATAGTTTGAAACGTACAAATTCCTTGAGTTTTGTCAATGAGTGTAATAAATAATATAAATTTAGAGAGAGATTTGAGATTGAAACTACTTTTATTGTATCGTACATATAATATTATATTGGGTTAAATAAAATAAGAGAAAGGAATTGCATATAGAAGTATTGATTCACGTATATAAAATAGTTTTTTTTATTATCACACATATAACGTCTCTGTGTCTTCTGTTTCCTCAACACATAACTGTCAACCCAAATGTGGCAGTTACAACAAAATACAAGGAAGTAGAAAGTCTTTGATGTCCACGGTCATCTGCTTTTTTTTAAGGAGACAGAGGTAATTTTGTTCACACTTAGTTATTTCGTGTGTCTGCAATAAATATCACTGTATCAAATATCTTTCAGAGTTATTGTCTAAATCCCAAAATATATGCTAAAACGTACAAATTCCTTAAGTTTTGTCAATGAGTGTTGTACTGTACACTTTTAGATTGGTGCACTATGATGTTGGTTCGTTTAGATTAAAATGGTCTCAAGCAAAGGTGACAATATATATATTTAAAGAGGATTACGTTGTATACAAAAGCAAACTGAAATCGAAAAAAAAAACTGTTTTCCTTTTCTCGCAGATTACATTAGGCCTAGCG